GAAGGGGGAATGTTGACTTGGTGATAGAATGGAGGTGGTAAAAGGTAGAGAGGTTACCTGGGGTTATGAGATGGCAGGCAGGTTATAATATGCCATAAATCCAATATCTATATTTAGTCCATGAGTTTTTATATCCAGTAGATTTATGAAGTGAAGTTCATAGGCTCAGCTATGAAAGGCTTTTTGTAAATTCCCTTTGAGGATCAGAACTGAGAGGTTGGAGAGAAAGTGGTTGTTTTGTGAGAAGTGTGCACCCACAGGTAATTGGATATTTTTGTCTTTGATAGATTTTTGGTGCACGGCTCTGACCAGCACTGCACATGAGGACAAGAAGCACAGCCAGGCCAGCCTGCCTCTATTGTGCGGGGCTCCCCATGCAGTACATGCAGCTCCCAGCACTCGCATACCACCAGGGGAAGCCCCACATGATGGAGCCAGCTGCCTTTCCTACCCCCTGCCATGCAGGTCTCAGGACTGCTGGAAGTGGAAGGGAGCCCTGCCCCTGCCCCTGCCCCCTGGTTCCCAGCAGAGTCCTGAGACCTGCACGGCAGTGGGCAGGGAAGGCAGTCTGCTCCATCACACAGGGCTTCCCTTGGTGGTGCATGAGTGCTGGAAGCTGTATGTGTGCTGCGCACAGCCCCGCATGATAAGAGGCAGGCTGGCTGGGCTGTGCTCCTTGCCACCATGTGCAGTGCTGCCTGGAGCCATGCACTGCTAGACAGTAGTGCCTGCTTGGGCCCTGAGCTCCTGCTGCCTTCTGCTGTTGTTGCTGCTGGCAGCAGAGGCTATGTGACATGGCCGGGGGGAGTGTGTGTGGTGGTCCCTGTACCCCTCCACACATACCCTACCCAGCTGAGTTCTGTGCTCCTGTTGGCTCCCTTGGCACGGGCTCCATGCTGCCACCAGCCCCATGCTCCACGTTCCCGCCCAGCTGCAGCTCCCCTTCCCCCCAACCCCACTTCCTCCACTTCCCTAACTGTGGCCCCAAGCAAGCAGGACACGGGCGAAGCCAAGCAGGTCCCCGGCAGCAGTGGCAGCAGCAACCCCACCCAGAAGCTGCATGCTGGCTGGGCCAGGCCCTTCCAGACACAAGGGTGGGAGTGAGGAACATGGGCTGGGCAGGGTACAATTCACCTGTGGACACCCATGGGCCAGATGAAATTGCATGGTGGGCTGGATGTGACCCATGGGCCATATTTTGCCTGCCTCTTATCTGTTTTTGCTGTTTTGGGCAGCGGGTGGAACACTAGCCCAAGAGGTACTTTGCCCAAGAGGTACACCTGCCCAAGAGGTACTTTGCATTGCCAACAGTGTCTTTCTGTTACATCTAATCCTTCCTGATCAGGCTTCATGTCAGTCCTCTTATTTTCATTTTCAAAACTCCCTTCCTATTACTGAGAAAAGAGAAGAATATGGTATTTTGGGTTCCTTCTTCCTTTATTTGTCCTTTAGTATCCCCATTCACCTATGGATAGTCAAGGGATTTACTAGAACTTTCGATCAAGCCTATGTAGAGAAGGAAACACTTGGCTTTATTATCTCTCTGGCTTTAGAAGCAACAGCCTTCTTCCAGCACGCTCAATCCCCTTTTTAGTGATCTCTATTATAGCAACAGGAAAAACAAGTAAAATGAAACACTTTAAAGTAAAGGTCAGGGTTTTTTGTTCCTCCTGTACTTTCATTGCTTCCCTGGTCTCAAATTAAATGTGGTGTTGGCAACCCTGTGTCAATCTGTTCCTTCTATCCACCACCCTCCTCCACACCTAGATGTTACTTGTTCTGTTCCATTGTGGCATGATGTTAATTTACCACTGGGTGTGTAGGATATAATCTAGTCCAGATACTTGATCCTGCTTCTCTTCTTGAAGTCCTCAGGTCTTGTGTCCTTTCTCACCCCTTAACACAGGGGTGTCAAATATACAGCCCATGAGCTATATCCAGCCTGTGGGGCACTATTATTTAGCCCCTGGTGCTGCCAGCAGACCCATAGGCAGCATGTGAGGTGTGCCAGATGGCCCCATGTGTTGCATACAGTATCCACTCTGGCCACCCTGGAATCGTGCTCTGCTCCATACTTGGCCAGGATGGAGCCGCAGATGGGCATGGAGCAGCATATGGAAGTGGGATGGGTGGGCAGGGGTTCTGCATCGGTTCTGTGGGCAGGGGTGTGTGGGGAGCAGATTGCAACTGTTGTTGCCTCTCTCACTGCCATGATCCCAGGGTCTCTGTGGAGACTGTGCAGGACCCCCGTGGGCAGGGTGTGCAGCCAGGCGGATGGGATGGGGCCGCTTAGGGAGTTTTGGTAAGCTGTTGTGAGGGGTGGGTGCTGACCTGGCCTGCTACAGCTCACCAGAACTCCCTATGTGGCCCACAGGCCCAAATAATTGCCCACACCTGGCCAAAGTCCTCTCCCATGGTCCAAACTCTTCCTTGTAAAAGCCTACTCCTTAAAAAGGATTAGCTCTGAATAGTGGTCTCCCAAAATGAGAGTTTGTACAATTCTTTAATGTAAAGCAGGTATTTTTTCCTCCTTGCCAGGAAAGCCTAATTCCTTCTACCATTTCCAGTAACAGGCATACATCTATTCCAGCATAGTAACTAAAGACACCCTTTTCAGAACTTTCCATATGTTTTTTTTCCTCCAGATGACTGAAATTTTCATTTTTATCCCAATTTGCACCTAATCATCAGTTCAAGGCAATTCTTGCTGAAGTAACAGGGGATCTTCTGCTGGTGCTCCTTAGATTAATGCATGTGTCATTTTGCAGTCAGGTGCTTACAGCTATAAAAATAGATCCAATATACATAATCTCTGGGTTCCAGTTAGTGTTCCATCTCAAAGCAAAATACTTGGCTCAAGCCCACTCCTATTTCACTTTTAGACATTTTAGGACTGAAGACTGATCACCTTCAATACCACACCTTTCCTTTTCAGTGTGATAGCAGACTGTCTCAGAAGCTGGAAACTAGTTCCCCCTTTTTCTGTACTTCCCCTTCTGCTCGCCCTTTCCCCTCAACCCCCCGCCTCGACTAAAATCTAACTGGGTAATAAAACAAAAAGAAAGTAATTAAATATGCAAGAGCCATGGTAAGCTCCACAGTCTCACTGTTCATTGGTTGGTTTCCTGGGGTGTGTGCGGGCCGGGAGCGATCCGCGGCCCTTTTGCGCATGCGGGCTGTGGCCAGCAGCCCGGGCACGCGGGGTCGGAGAGAACGGGCGACACGCTAGAATTAGGCACGGACGCTTAATGGTTGATTTAAAGATTATTTACTTACACCGAAGATGGTCGCGGTGTAGGCTGGACAGTTTTCCAGGCACAGCTCCGATTAAATCCTCGTTTGAGGACTATGACAAGCTTGCTCTCTCCCACGGAGCTGTTGAAGCTCCATGGGTCCGTTTATTCACTCACACGAAGTTTGCTAGGCTCCGTGGGTCCGTTTATTCACTCACAATTCACTCACACAAAGTTTGCTAGGCTCCGTGGGTCCTTTTGCGCGCAGGGAAAGGGATACGTCTAGGAATTAATTGGCGATGGGGAGAGGCTAGAGGCTGATCAGACCTCTGTTGCCTGCTTGAAATACGCTGGGTCCAATAGGCTCCACAGCGCTTAGAGTGCTTCACAAAACGTGAAGCCCTCCTCTTGCTCTTTTTCTCTCTCCAGATGGTTGTGGAGTCCTCCAACTTGGGCGGAAACCACTCAAGCCTCTTATACGGCTAGCAAGCCAATCACTAGCCGCCACGTGTGAATAATTTAACACAAGCCAATAATGGGGCTCGAATTATAATACAAATGGCGGGAACTCTTTGCACCAAGCATTTCTTAGATGCAAAAAGAAATGCACCATGCAAAGAAAGCTACAAATTGGCGGGAAATTCTCCCTTGCACCGGGGTTCTCCTATACAGCAGAAAACTCCACCGTGCAAAGAAGCTGCAATTTAGCGGGAAAATAATTTAGCAGTGCCAAAGCACACACAAAACAAAAATCACAACTTTGGGTTGTGACAGGGTGCTCATAGACAGTCTAGTTATAAGTGAGATCCCACCTAAGCATCATGCCCAAACAGGGCCAGCCTACAATTTTTTGAGACTCCCAGCAAGCTATAGTTTTGGGGCCCCCTAATCCACTGAAAAATCAAAATTACAGTTAATTATGGTATAAACTCACTGAAATAAAATAGTCAGGGCCGGGCTGCATGCATGTGGGCTGCACTGCGAGGGGTGCAGGGTGGGGACAGCATGTGCTGGGGATGCCTGGATTCTCTCCGTGGGGCCAGGGTGGGAGCAGAGCTGGGAACACCTCCCCCGATGGCTGGGAAGGGGCACCCTGCCTGCATTGAGTCCTTTAAACATGGTGCAGGCAGCAGGGGGCGAGCAGGGCATGGCCCCTTGAAGCCACAGGTTCTGCAGGATAGGGCAGGCTGGCCCTGCTTCTAAATCCTGTAAAATCTGTGGTTGTATCGAGTAAGTACAGGGCTCCCTTGAGCTTGTACAGTATACTTTTTGCCATGGATTGCTCCAGTCTGTCAGGCTAAAAACAGATATGGCATTTGAGGCAGCTCTGAGTCAAAACCTGGGATAAAAAAAGAGTGGCACGGACCTTTACACATGTAGCTGGTCCTTAGCATGAAAGGTATTTAACTCAAATTAGTTGCTGTTGGCCCAGGACAAAGTATCATGGGTTAAAAACAGAGGTCATGTTTATCCTGGGTCTGACTGTCCCAGACTTTAGTCTGCACCAACACAGGCATGGGGCAGTCTTTTACATGGGTAGCTTGAATGACAGTTGTCTCTAATCAGCCCAAATAGTCCCTGGGAAAAAAAGTTTTATCTCGTCATAGACTTCACAGGTACTTAAAGTGGGACAACGAGCTTGTACCTCTGTAGGATCCCAGGATAACCTTTTTTTTTAGCCTCAGTGTTGGCTCTGGCCAGTATGCTAGTTTTCACATAATCTGCTGTCATCATGTAACTTGGTCTATTTTATCGTACTACTTCTAGCTCCAGTCTGGTCCACTGATGTTACCCAATCAGATCAGCTCTGCTCACACCTGCATAATGCTGGCATGTTGGATCTCCTCCCAGTGAAGTACAAAGATTTATATTTTGGGCCTTTTACTGGACTAAAAATCCAGAGGGAAATGAGAATTCGGTAGGATCCTAGCTCTCACTTGTTCATCCTGATGTTAATGAGTTTCACAGTTTCATAGTTTTAGGGTCGGAAGGGACCTAATAGATCTTCTAGCCCGACCCCCCGCCAGGGCGGGAGAACAACAAAAGAACCCTAAAAACAAAAAAACGGGACTCAAATGAATCCAGCCAGAGTTAATTGCAGCATTAATCAGCTATCCAAGCGTATCTACTTTCTCTACTTTTGTATGTTCCTGACCTCTTCCAAATATGGCCACATAGCTAATTGAATCCCATCATTCATATAGAAAATATTTTTCTAATCTAACTTTAAAATCTTAACAAAACTACAGTAAAAAAAAAAGAAATTGGGCAATAAGCCTGCCACAAGCTATTTTTTTCTCCCTTTCTTCCTATAGGGGGAGCCAGAGAGCTTCTCTTCAAGTCTCTTAACTCTCTTTATGTTAACTCACATTTCTATTGTTTCTGGAATGTGTCAGACCTGATCCTGTGATGACTGGAGTTAAGTATTGGTGCTCTGATTTTGAAAGTAGTGTGCAGGCCTTTCTTTTCAGTCCCACTTGTTGTATGTATTTTAAGGCCTGTGCAAAGCAGTCCATCTTAGAAGCAAGTTATCATATTTTGTTTTGTTTTGATATTTTTATTTGATGAGCTGTACAGATGGAAGAGATCACAAATAACCTGTTGGGCACAAAGTACCCTTCCTTAAATCTGGTAGAGAAGCAGAAGCAGCCTAACCTAAATACAAGATAAAACAACGACTTCTCTCATCTCTAATGTGCAAATAATAAATAGTGCTTAAGGAAATGGAAGAGGGCCATAAAAATGCAGAATAAAGACAAGCTAACAGAAGTAGCAGTAAAAAAAAAAGTGAGGGGCAATTGAAGCAGATAAACTAATAAGATAAATTGTGCACCTCAAGCCCTACTACAGCTTGGGTCTCAAAGCCCAGTGCACAGCAGCAGCTCCCTCACACCATGCACAGATGGGGGGGGGGGGGGCGGCAGCCGGCC